AGGCCAGGATTGCATTTCACATCTGGTTGTTAAAAATATTAAGTCTTCTTCATCAAGATCAGTACCTTTTTCATGGTATCCACTTATTAGGGAAAACAAGTTGAGTTTCCTTATAGAACATTGTCCCTTCTCAATATAACTGGTTGCTTCCTTGTGGTTAATTTTTTTTTTCCAAGAGTAACTTTTGCTAGAATAAGAAGAATTTGCCCTCTTAAGATGTCTGAGAAAACAGTTATGTATGAGTTTCAGGTACAGAGATTCCATTTTTACTTCTTCAGGTTGTTTGTACCTCTATCATCCTACAGAATAATGAGAGGAAAAAAAAGGTAAAGAAATACAAATCAACCAAGGAACTGCTGCAGGAAAATATTAAAAGTAAAAGCTAACCAGAAAAACATAGAAATTACTGTATATTGAGGTTTTGAATGTTTTATTTTCATTACCATGACTAAAGTAAGTAGTAATGATGTGATAATTGATATTTATCTGAATTAAATGAAAAAAATAGTCAGGGATCTTGTTTTGTTGTATTGGAAGTGATTATTCTTAAAATGAAAAGCAAACAAGAACAAAAGAACATTTTCTTTTAATTTACAGTGACACTGACATTTTCATAAAGACACACCACTTTTTTTTTTTTTTGCCAAATAGAAAAGCAGAGGAATTTTAGAGGTTAATTCAAATCTACAATTAACAAAATGTTAAGGACTATTCTCAATCATATATAAATCCTTTGCAGTAAAAAACTGAGCTCAAGAATACAACCCTTTTTATAGTAGTGGCTTTTCAGGGATATGTTAGCCACTAGTGCTGAAAATAATGCCTTAAGTTGAAAACTTGAAATATTTTCTGAAATAGATATTTAACTGGCATGCTCAAAATATAATCTTACATACCAGGACACATCACAATGATGAGTTTGTTTTCATACTATAGTTTAATTTTCTCAGCATAGATTTTTATGTCTTTAGAAAATTCCATTTAGGAAAATATAGTTGAATTATAGCAACATTTCAGTATGCTACAGTACTTTCAACTGTCAGGAAACAACCTTTAGGATGAACTACTTTTTAGGTTTTTCTGCAGTTTTGTATGACAATAATGTAACATAATCCTTAAAACACATGACTTCATTTATCGAAGAAGTTA